CCATTTTCATTCTTTATGTTTAAATATGTGCTACACTAATCGGATTTACTTCTGCATCTTGAAATTGTTGGTATATTTAGACAAATTTAAACATTGAAAAGATGGAAGAACAAAACAAGAGATGCAGTGTCATCCGTAAACCCACCTGAGAGAAGAAAAAATATACAGACACTTGGTTGTCATGATTCCTGGGAAATTTAGGTTCTTTTCAAAATCTAGGTCACAGTCATTTCTCGCATTCAGCCTTCCCACCCTCCTTTGCCTGCAGACCGCACTAAGACAGCGACGCCAGTTTACATTCTGTGGCCCCTCACTCATTCTGTGGCCAGGAACCCAATGAAGACCAAAGGGGCCCAAAAGAGGAGCACCATCTTCTGTCCGTGCCAGGGACTCCCACAGGCAAGGAGGAAGGGCTGCCCACGGGTCTCCTGTGCGTGCGCAGTGGCCAGAGGGGGTGGCTGGGTGGTGGAGTTGAGAAGATGAGGCCAAGTTTATACAAAAGGAAAATGCCGCAGAGCTGGCCGCTGGACCCGACGGAGAACTGAGCGCGCCTGGCTCTGGTCCGGTCCAGAGACCGCCACACGCTCCTTCTCCCCTCTGCTCAGTGTCATCTGAGGATAAACTCCAAAATCAAAAGTCACAGGCATATACATTAAACACCCTCAAAAACAAATTCACATATGATCTCAGATTGCTCTAACTGTGTGATCTTGAACCTTTTATTTACTTCATCAGTAAACGGAACTGAAAGATGGCCTCCGAAGGAGAGCTTCCCTCCAAGGGCCCCTCAGTCCGAGTTGCGGGGTGCGGGGTGCGGGGTGCAGGGACCCCCACTTCAGAAGTGAAGGGAGGAGAGAGGACTCATGTGCGTGTGCGTGTGAGCACGTAGCCTGCTAGAAAGTTGTGTTCTCTTTCTCAGAAAAATAATCACTTTCCAAACATGAATTAGCTCTAGAAAATATGGCACAGGCTCCTTCCATACTAAGCGCTCGTCTCGTTCACCCCCTCACGGTTTCCGGGACAGAGCCCTCAGCAGGCACAGCAGGAGCCGCCAGGGCTGAAACCGCATCTCCACAAAGGGCGGGGGTCCCTCCGTGTGTCAGGAGGAGTATTCCCGGCCAGTCACACAGCATTCACATATCACCGGCTTTACCTAATGGTGTGACATGCACAGATACAAACATAAAAAACATGAAAAACATGCCAAGCAGTGAAGGATACGGCCCACAGCTCTGCCTCGCCGGTCCAGGCCCACCGCACCCCATCGAGGGCTGTGCGCCGAGTGCCCAGGAGAGGGAGGTAGACAGCAACACCGGCTGGTCCCCTATGGGACAGGGTCTCACTGCTGACACTGTGATCAAAGACCGGCCTGAAGCAAACTAGTCCCATAGCACGAGGGCCATGCACACCGAGGCCTGCCCGGCTTCCGCCGCAGCAGACGCAGCTGCCCGGATCATCCCGTCCATGAGTCTGTCCACTGGTGAGTCTGTACAATCAGGGGGTATAGCTGACCAGCCCTCTTGTTTACTGATAAAGAAGTAAATAAGTAAAGGAGGTTCAAGATCATACAACTAGAGCAATTTGAGATCGTATGTAAATTTATTTTTGATGGTGTTTAATTGGTTTAATGTACTGGCCCTTAATATTTCAGCTTTTAAATTGCTTTGTCAAAAGGTTAAAAATCTGTAGCTGTGCTGGCCAACACACTGGCCACTAGCCACGTGGGTTACTGAACTCTTGAAATGTGGCTAATCAAAACTGAGATACTCTGTAAGACTTAGCATGAAAAAACGTCTGTGTCTTATTAGTACTTGGTTTGATTATATCTTTACACAGTCACTTTTTATATATTGGGTTAAAGGAAACATTAAAATTAATTTTACTTGTTAATTTTTCTTTTCTAATGTGACTATGAAGACATTTAAATTATGTGTGTTGTTCACACATTTTGCTTCTCTTGGAGGCACTGACTTGTGGGAAAACGCTTAGCTGCACTGAGCAGAGAGCAGCAAACAATCTTTCTTTCCTGGACTGGCCAGTGGCAGGAGCAGAGGAGGAGGGAACCAGAGGGCATTTGTCCTGAGTCTTTACCTCGTCAATAAAGGAGCCACTTGCAAACCACATAAAATAAAAACTAAAGCACTGTTTGAAATCAATTAAAAAAACAAAGTTAATACTTACACGTGTGCATGCGAACATTTACCTTGTTAGAGAACATTAGGAACTCTGACGACATGACAACTATCACCTTCCCTTTGGATGAAAAGCAGCTATTTTCCAAGAAAAACCATAACCAAAAATAACTAATGTCCTAGAAATCAGTTCAGCTTTTAAAGAGACATCTGTCCATTGTAAATACACATACCAGATAGACAGGTAGATGGGTAGGTCAGTAGATAGAGGCTAGATGCATAGATGGATGGACGGAAGGTCCAGCCCACCTTATACATGAGAGCGGGTGCAGTGTTTATCGGAATTGGAAGTTACAGATTGGCACCAAATGCTTTTTTAACTTAAAACAGCTGGCAAGCCACCATCTCACCGCAGACAACCAAATGTTCCCCTTTGTAACAAAGAAATTCTTATAGTGCAAAAATTTACTGTATTTATTTTGGGGGTAAATGATTATTTTTATTTAAATCAATAGGTTAATTTCCAATATACCAACTATGGCCACAACATCAGAAGACTGTACAATGTTTTTATTTTCACGGATTCACTCTCTTTTCAATAAAAGAACCTCCATTATTTTGCAATTTAATTTTTCAGTAAGATGTGCAAGCATCGGAGCAGAGGCGGCGCCCACCCTGAAGCACTCGGCATCAAGGAGGAGGCGCTGCTCTTCTGAGGGAAGGGCAGCACAGCCCACTGCCGAGAGCGCTGGCCTGCGGGGCACAGCTGCAAAGGGGCGCCACAGCGGGGCATTTAACTTAGGTGGCTTCTCTGTCTTTTCTTAGGAACAACTCTTTCAAGGCTCTACCACGAAAAGATTCTGGAGGCTTCTCCGTAACCATGCACATGGAATGGCCATTGCAGATATGACCGAGGCGTGCACAGCAAGGCTGAACCCTGTACTCCCCCCTCTCTTCCACCCTGGACCACAAATTAAGGGCGGGTCGGATGGGATGAAAAGCTTCCTGGCCTGCTAGCTTCTGTTCCTGTCAGATGGGCTGTGGTGTTCCAGTGCCCCAGCCCACAGGGCCTCCTGCATGTCCAGAGAGAGAATTGTTGGCAATGTGCAATTTCAGACAACACCAACAGAATTATCCCCCCACAAATTTGTTCCATTTTTTCTAATTTTATTCTCCCCTTGCCCCCCCCTCCCCTTCCCCCTCCCCCCTTGGAAG